TTCATTCTGTCCTCAAAACCACTCTGTAAAAGAAGCAGAGGAGGCATTTTAACTTCCATTTTATCCACAGAAACTTAGTCTTCACGTGCCTGGCCCTGTCTCTTATACACATCTAGATGTGTATAAGAGACAGGTGCTCGGCCCGGCAGCGCGAGCGGGAGGAGCGGAGACGCGCAGCCAGGAGCCCGAGCGCGGGCGATGCATGCGCCGCGAGCGGCACCTGCGGCTCCTCTAAGCTACGACCGTCGTCTCGGCGGCAGCAGCGCGGGCCTCAGCAGCCTCGGCAGCCACAGCCGCTGCAGCCGGGGCAGCCTCCGCTGCGGTCGCCTCCTCTGATGCGCCTACCCGCTCCCGGTCCCGGGACTCCGGGAGAATGTGGGTCCTAGGCATCGCGGCAACTTTTTGCGGATTGTTCTTGCTTCCAGGTGAGAATGCCCAGAGGCCAGCAGCCGGCGCCAGGTGCGCACAGTCCATCTACCAGCCAGTCCTTTTGCCCCCCAAGGCGCCCACCTGGGGCCAGCCCTGCCCTGGGGCTGCCCAGCGGGAGTTGGGCGGCGGCGACTGGTGCCCCAGGGCGCGAGGCTGGGAAAGTGTCCAAGTCCCGCGCTGCAGGAGGAGAGCCGGGAGCGGCGGGTTCGCCGGACTCCGGGCTACAGCTTCTCGGGCTGCACGGTCGGCAGAAGCTGGGCTTGGGAGGAGGGAGGGTCCGAGCCGTGCTGGGGTCTCGGCGAGGAAGAGGGGGCGACATCTCCCGAACCCCGCCAAGTTGTCTGGCGCCTCCGGCACCCCGTGGGAGAGGCGCCGCCGACAGGTGAGCCGCGCGCTAGGCAGCCTGCGGCCTCGCTGAAGCTGGGTTGCTGCGCTCAGAGTGCGATAGATGTGGGGCAGCGGGAGCGCGGGCAGTTGGGTCTAGACAGGAGCGCGTACACCGAGAACAGCCAGGCTGAAGCGACCAGAGGCGCAAAGGTCTCGCGTCCTCTCTCCAGTTCGCCTACTGGCTCCCGACTAAGCTCTGCAGTGCTGGGACCCCGACCAGCCACCCTAGCCGAACGGTTGCCCTGAAAGCCGGGGCCTGGAAGAAAGGGCCGCGGGGTCGGGATCCAGGGTGCGCGCGCTCACAAACGCCCTCTCCCACCCTCTGTGGCCACCCGGGTCGCCGCGGGGACGGCCCTGGAGAAGGGCCGCAGACCCGGGCTCGGGGACTTGCGGCGCAACAACACTTGGCGTCTGGCACCTCCACCCTTGTTCCCAGGTGGTCGCTCAGGGATCCTCAGAGCCCCGGCACAGAAACGCTGACTTTAAAAATTAAATAAATAAAAACTGAAAAGACGTCTGCGAATGTAATCACGAATGGTGCCAAAATAGTAATTAAGTAATTTGTAACCAATTAGCAATTAGGCAAATCCTTTGGCTTTGGCTGGAGCTAACGCACGTCTCCAGAGCTACTTCGCTCTTCGGGTGGTACCATCCCCACCCTCCTTTCAACTTCTTGGGAAATGGGCTCTTCGTGTCTAGAGCCGGGGTCCAGAGGTGGCGGGCACTATTCCATTTTGTCCTAAAGGACCCTAGGTACCGGCGCCGCCCCCTGCCGGTTTCAGCCACATCTGGCCCTACCTGGAGACCCAGGAGTGCAGAGCCCCAAGCCTCCCAGAGGCCGGGAGCCGCCGCGCTCTGGGGTGTGGGATGGTCGTGATTTCCGGGGTGGGCTCTGTGGGGGCCGGATCTGAACCCGACTGCGTCTGTCTCGCAGGCTTTGCGCTGCAAATCCAGTGCTACCAGTGTGAAGAATTCCAGCTGAACAACGACTGCTCCTCCCCTGAGTTCATCGTGAATTGCACGGTGAACGTTCAAGACATGTGTCAGAAAGAAGTGATGGAGCAAAGTGCCGGTAAGAGCCTGGCAGCCCTCCCCGTCGCTCTTAAGCCTGCGCTCTGGGGTGGGAGTGAGGGGGCCATTAAATAACAGGAAAAAGGACTGACTTTGATTTAATGCCCACACACTGGTTATCGCAGATTTACTTTTACAGTGCTGGGAAAATGAAGAGTTCCAAGTTACTTTAATCTCATTAATTACCAAGGCTTCTCCCCAAGGGTCTTGGGAGGGGAAGTGCATTTAAATTAGTGGCTCTCCTCTTTTTATTTACTCTCTTCACCTCCCTATGCTACAAGCTGATGGAGATAGAAAATATATGGCTAACCAGCCCCGGCTTGGGCAACTAGACAGTAGCCTGTGAGCATTGTCAGCCTGAAATATGGAGCTAGTTGAAGTTCCCAGAGGTCAGAGCTTGAAAAATGTGTTTTGTCATAGAGGCACACCATATTTCCTTGAAGAACACTACAGGATCTTTATTTAATTTTAGAACTAATGCATCAACTTCCAGGCACAAATTGCCAAGATCTTTCAAAGGAATGCGGTTCTCAGCCCTACCAGCTTAGCTGCCGGCTGGCTGAGAAGAGGGCCTGAGCATCCTGTGAGGGACGAAGGGGTCTTGTGGGATAGCCCTTACTCCCTCTAGCTGACCAAGGGTCTTCTCGCTGAGGTAGAACTTTCCAACCGTCCCCCAACCCCCTACCCCAGCTGTCTTATTAGAACTCAAAGTTCCCCAAATTATAACTGGAACTTTGGGAAAATAGGTGGAGCTGTTACTTCAGTTTCAAGGTCAAAACCATAAACACAGACGTTGCCATTTTAAGGATATTGAAAAGATGGGAAATAGCATAACTTTATGGCTGATATTGAATGAGCCAAAGCCCCCACTTCCCTTTAGTTCTGTGAACTGCCTGCAGAACCCGGCGAAGTGATTAGAACTGTTATATGATTCCCTTTACCCGCTGGCAAATCAATGCAAGCACTCTAGTTTTAAAGCCAACAGCTTGGGAAAGTTGTTTCTTCTCAGAGAAGGGCCTGGAAATGTCATATTGCTATTCTCATGGTTATTTGGAAAGCAGATGCCGGCTTGTCACTGTGCTGTGTTGTGGTGTGTGTGTAGTTGTAAGGGCTGATTTTATAGGTCATTATTTGTTGCACCAAAATCACTCTTCTGGGAAGCCTGAGACATACTGACTCTCAAGGGTAACTTGTCCCAAGAAATGGAGTAAACATCATTTTGGCACACGGGATTTGGGCTATTAATAATGCAAAACAAAACAAACTTGGCGATAATTCTTCAGTTAAGATTGATAGGGATAATTTGAACAAATGGATTTTTTTCTACTTGTGTTTCTTTCCTATGGTTTACCTGAGCAAAAAATTTACTGCCTTTCTACCAGAGGGACTGCTGTGATTTTAGTCAGAATTACTGTTAACACTTGATTGTTACGTTCAAATATTTGCAGCTTTCTTGAGACGGTAGTTTAGAGCCAGACAAAATGAGAATGTACTGTGGACGCGTTAAGAACTTCTTCAGAGTCCACAAGGCCACCGCTTACCTGGGTGTCATGTTTTATCACCTAGGATATGGTCAAGAAAGGGATGTAAGCTAAATGTGAGTCAGAAGAGGTTCTTTTTCTGAGAGACATTTCTTCTTCTGTAAAAGTGTGTCTAAGATGAATACCACACACTCCATTTTCAAAGTGCTGTTTTTCATCTTGCTTCATTCTGTCCTCAAAACCACTCTGTAAAAGAAGCAGAGGAGGCATTTTAACTTCCATTTTATCCACAGAAACTTAGTCTTCACGTGCCTGGCCTAAGGTTGCTCGTTTACTGTAAGCTCGGACAAGGTGGGCATCGTGTCTCCAAACCAGGTCCCTCAGGCCACAGGGCACAGCCCAAAAGGTCAAGACAGAATCAATAAGGCAGTTTCAATTGTGAAGTTTGATAAACAGAAGCAGTTGACGAACTCAGAGGAAAAGGTTATGAAGGGAAGGATGCTAGGTCGGGGTGTGTGCACATGGTAGCAAGGCGTTCTAAGCCTAAACTCCATAGAAACAAGCCAAACGGATCTGTTTCTGCATCAAAAGAGCAATGTCCGGGGGGCTCATACCTCCAAGGCACTTCCATTTTGATGTCCATGTACTTATTAGGGACCAATTTAATTTTTTGCCAACAAGGATAGAGAGCAAATCTAAAACTCTAAGTGAACACAGTTGTAGTATAATCATCATAGTAACAAGAGCTAACTTTTGTTGAGCACCCGAGACATCTGACTTTTCTCTTTTGATTGTACATGCAGAATCTTGTGAAATCTGGTGGTCATCTTTGAAGATCTTGTTTCCTCATGCCACAGCCAGTCAGCATGTAATTCTATTACATGGTCAACATCTCCACTCCAGAGAAAGTAATGCCTGTGAAATGATGCTATTAAGAATTGAAGTCAGAATTTCTTTTAAGTTTGATCAATCACATATGTTATCCTGAGAATCTCAGCATACTGGAGCTGAAAGAGCCCAGCGACTCCTAGTTAAAGATGCATGTTGGAATCTTGCTGGGAGTTTTGTTCAACTCCACATGACTGGGTCTCTGCTTAAAGAAGCCCGTTTCATAAATCTGTGGTATATCTGGCCATGGGTCTTTTCTAAACTTCCCAGTGATTCTGGGGTGACCCGAGTTGAGAACTGATCTGGGGACAAACCTTTTTGTGTTATAGAGGAAGACAGCAAGGTCTAGAAAAATTAGATGCGTGGTCCAAGTTCACTAGCCAGCTGTTACTAAGAGGCGCTTGAAGCCTGCTTCCCTGACCAGCACCTTTGCTGTAATACCACACAGCCAGCATGTCGTAAAATATCCTGCCAGGTCTGCCCGAAAAGATAGTCCAGGCAAAGTTCAAAGAGTTTAGACCATTTTTCATATCCACCAAGTTCACCTCACAGTCCAGGTAGACAGGCCATGAAGTGGATGTCAAGAATCTGAGAACCAACCAGTGAGATTTTTAAGTTTGAGCGCTATGTGGACTGGCATTTTTTCATAGGTATAGAAAAACCAGGGCTTTAAATCAACTAAGAAAATTTAATGAACTAAGCCAGTCTGACATTAAGCAGTAATGAAAGGTGTTCTCTTTCCAAAAAATACCAGCCGTGCAATATGTGTAGGCCTTCAGTTTCTGGACTAAGTCTGCAAACTCAGCTCTTATGAATTTTGAGGCAGGTAGATTTAATTTTCGACTGCGAAGTACACTTGAAATTAACCTTTACCTATTCCCCAGAGTGGCATTCCTATTAGGTGCTGAGATTATTATCCACCACTCTTGTTCCGTTTGGTCATTTCTGGAATAATAAGTTACTGGCTGTGGGGAAGGGAAGGTTCACTTCAACTTCTTTCATTGTCCTTACTAATTGATATTTAAATATTTGCATAACGAATGACTTGTTCTTACCAGCTCTGCACTTAATGAGTTGGTGTCTATTTACTAGCACCCTTGATAATGACACTTCTTTTGCTCTTGCTTGTCATTGTACCCTGCAAAATATTTCAAATACTGATTTTCATTTCAGAATAGAAGCCCCCTCCAGTATGAATTTTGAAACCAGGGAATAAAGAATGTGAATTTGCATTTGTTTGACAGTGCAATCTTGTAATTAGAGTTTTTCCTCTTGACTAGATACAGTGAAAGGGGCATAATTTAATTTTTATAGACTAGCCAATTTCTGCCCTTAGTAAAATATAGCTCTGTCAGTGAGCAAAATGTTACAGGTTCTCCTAAACCTTATTTAAAAGTTAAATGCAGTATATTGAGAGAAAGTTCATGGTCTGAATCAGTAACCTAATCGATCTCTTCACCCATCCTTTGCAACACGCATTAATCTATTTGTCTGTTTTGCAATACAAGAGTTACTGATTTATATGCCATGTTGCATCTACATTATGGCTGTGTAAGTAATGGCTATTTTCCTTTTGGATTAGTTAGTTGCTCATTAAGTTGGGCAGGGATGACTTCATACCTTGGATAGTTTAGTTTTACACCTTATTTTCTCATGAGCTAACTAAGGGGTAGCAAGAGAGGACTAATGTCGCAAAAATGCTTGGTCATCCACTCTTAGTAGAAAGAAGTGGAAAGTTAACCACAGCCTATGTTTTCTTAAGTCTGTGCCTGCTTAATTTCCCCAAGATCTAAAATAACAGGCTCTAGTTTGGCCTTGGGATGGGCTTGGCAGGAATGACGCCCAGTGCTGCTAATCAATTCGATGTCATAGTCCCTTATTCCTGTATTCTTTTATTTCAGATGAGTGCATGCACTCGAGCTCAAATGCCTGTGTGCACACACATGTGCGCGCGCACATACACTCATATATTTGTGTGTGCAGATATACCTTTCTATTTTTGCCTGTCTATATATTTGCATATACCCACATATGCAATGCTTGTAAGAAAAATAAATATAGAGTCATTCTTTACAGATACTGAGATCACAAATTGCTTGATCCATGCTATGTTGTAGGCATGAAGAACATTTTCTAAGATTTTTATTTTATTTTATTTTTGCAGAACGACGTTGTTAGAAGTAGCAGGGGTCTCTGTTAATCTTCCAGCATCCCTCATTTGTCCATCTCTCCTCCTCCTACTAGGCCTCTCCTGTTAGCTCTCTTTTAGACATCCCATCTGCAGTCCTTAATTTCTCACTGTTAACCCCATTTTGAATCGATCAGATGGGCTATGGAATAGCTTTATGAATAAAGTGAAAAACAAAACCAAAGTTCCACATTCTATCTTTGACAAAGGAGACTTCAACAGCTTAAAAAACTTTAAAATGAGGCTGTTCGCACGGCGGCTCATACCTGTAATCCCAGCACTTTGGGAAGCTGAGGTGGGTGGATCACCTGAGGTCGGGAGTTCAAGACCATCCTGGCCAACATGGTGAAACCCCATCTCTACTAAAATACAAAAAATGTGCTGGGTGTGGTGGCACATGCCTGTAATCCCAGCTACTCAGGAGGCTGAGACATGAGAATTGCT